GTTAGTAATTTTGTTGTAGTCCATTTATACTTTTGTTATTGCCCTTAATCCTCTACCTTTTCCCTTTTCTTAAACTTGTAGTGTCTAGTCTGCCAGTTTTAAATGGTACTGTGTTTTCCCACCTATTCAACAGTCTATCTTATTTTACAGTACTTTCCTTTTCTCATCCTTTTTTAAGAATGATATGCTTTGTACTCTAACATATAACATTTCATATTATTCTTCTGCCCATGTCCCCATCCTTTTAAAACTTAGTTCTTATTTTTACAATATTAATTAGTCCTTAATTCTACAATTCAATAAGTCAAATGCTCCCAGTCCTTTTCCTGAAGTTTCCCCAGTGATTCCTTGGTTGGATGGAGCTCATTCTCCAGTAAACGCCACAGATGGGCGCATGATTGTAACATTCAAGTTCTTCAATGTTGGTCTGGTATCACCACCATAACTGAAGGGATACTTGTCTGCATATTGAATCCTTAATCTGTACTTTCTTCCTTTGAGTTTCTTGAAATTGCCATTCTGTTGCCATGACTTGAATGTTGATCTTCAGAAGAATGATGCCAGTCAAATTTAACCTTAAAGTTCAACAGTTTACTAAAATATGTCCTAAAGTTGGTTATTCCAGGCCAATTTGTCCAGATAGATGGTGGGTCCTTCAAAAAGCAGGTTTAAATTTCTCTTATTCTCAGAAAGTTTTCCTGGAATATAGTTTGTAAGTTTTGTTTCACTACATTTTTTTCTTCACAGACTTGTTATGTTGGACACCTCCTTTGCTGGTCCTATCCTTACAATCATTTTCTCTGAGATCCTTTTAAAAAACTCTCATTTTCACCTGATGCCCCTTAGATTTTTATTCCATTCTATTATCTTTCAAGCACTTTATAACTTACTCATTTCTAGTTTTTTAAATTATATTTTTAATTCTCACCGAGGACATGTTTTTTTAATTGATTTTTAGAAAGGCAGGGAGAAAGAATGAGAGAGAAACAATGATGGGTGGCCTCCTGTACATGCCCCAACCAGGGATGGAATCTGCAAGCTAGGTATGTGCAGCCTTTTGGTGTGTGGGAGGATGCTCCAACCGAGCTACCCAGCCAGGGCTTGGTTTTGTGGTTTTTTTTAAAAATACATCTCTGTCCTTAAAATTTTGGATTCTAGGTTGTTTTGCTTGTTTGAGCAATATTTAATTTAGTCTAGAGTACTGTCCTACTTGATACTATTCAACTTTTCAGCTATTTTCCTAAGGTTTTTTATTTTTCAGGGTGGTGATTTTCATAAACGTATTTTACATATTTTAATACATATTTTTTTTTTGTTTTCTTCTAACAGTGATGCTGTTTTTTTTCCTCCTAATCATTTTGTGGACTACATTCTTTAGTTTGAGAGTGCCCTTTTGTCAACTTAGGGAAGTGCAGTTTCTTGAACTGGTAATGAGAGGAGAGACTGGTGTCTTCTTTCATTTTGCAGGACCCTTAATTTTTCTTTTTCTTATTTACTCTTAATTTGCTTTGGCTGGGAGGCATTTGCCCTTCTCTATTTATCTCCTTCTTCCCCCAAAACAATATTCTTCCAAGGCTGCCACTTCTAACTCTGCTCATTCTAAAACTCCTTCCCTTCAGCTGATGCTATAAACCACCAAGTCCAGTCTATGTTGGCACATACTGTTGTACTTTTTCTTTTTGAGGGTGATTTTGTCTTTGTTTTGCCTCAGTCCTTCAATCCCCTCTTCTCTAGTTTATAGTCTCTAAAGCTTCCCACTCCACACTCTCCACATACAGACTTGCAGCAGTGGTGCAAGTTCTTCTGGAACATGGTGTTTATTTTGCTACTTACAGGTAATTTGAGGTTCATGATATTCTTTCTCCCACTAGTGCAAAAAGAACACAAATAAAACTCAATTAACCTACACCTTCTGTTTTGGGGAAGGATGTGTGGAGGTAGCTACCATTATCCTTCAGACTGAAAAACCAGTTAAAGCTACATTAATTTTTTTAAATTAATGTTTAATTTGTTTTTAAGTTTCTGTATTAATAACTTTCAATAGCTTCCTTATTCTAGCTTTTTAAAGTTTTAACCAAGATATTTATAATTTAGTCAGTTCCAAAAATTAGCTTCAATTCACCCATCCATCCATTCAACAAATAATATGTGTGATATCTAAATCATGGGCTAATGTGGTTGTATTCATTTATCTTCTCTTAATGTTATATACAAGATAACTTAAAATCATGCCAAACTATATTTTAGATATTAAAAATTAGTTAGATATCATAAAATAGAAAATCTTATCATTGTAATGTTATTAATACGCACACACGAGAGAAAAATCCTGTACTGCTTATTATGAGCTGTCATCCTGAGTGTGTTAAATTGATGTATCATGCTTCCAAACTAGCTTTGGGTTACCTATGATTGTTTTTATCATTCTAGAGTGAAGATTATAGTTTTATTTTCCAGAACTTACTTATATAGTATACAAAATGTAATTTTGCACATTTTTTAAGACTGTAATTTTCACAGTTCAGAATAGAACCAAGAGAATTCTTACATCCTTAGTTCCCCAAATAAAAAATATCAGCCATAGTCCTGACCAGTGTGGCTCAGTTGGTTGGAGCATTGTCCCACAAATTAAAACACTGTGGGTTCAATTCTCACTCAGGGCACAAGCCTATGTTGAGGGTTCAGTCCCCGATAGGGGCACATGCAAGAGGGAACTGATTAATGTTTCTCACATCAATATTTCTCTCCCTCTCTCTCTCAATCCCTTCTCCTTTCTCTAGAGTCAATGAGCATATCCTTGGGTGAGGGTTTAAAAAAAATGGTTACCACAATTTTATATTAAATACAGAAAATATAGGCACAGTGCAATCAAAAGACATAACCAAAGAATGGTACTGTCTATAAATCTTCTCATTTTTGTTTACTCTTTTGTTTACTCTTAACCTATATATAAAATTCTTTATCATTTAATGTCTATTTTATTTTGAATGGAGAAATGGATATTAAAGTAATGTACTTTATTTTTCAAATTGACAAAGATAAGTCAGAACCTCCACTGATAATTATTTCCTGATTTTGATCTACTTAGCAACTTTGTGCTATTGATATACAGCAGCAAATATTTCCAACTATCTCCCCAGATTACGGCACATACTTTAATATACATACAATGTGTTTTTGTTTTGTTTCACTAGGGAAAAGACTCCAAATACTTTTAACCTAAACTATTCTTTTACTTAAGTTGCAATCTTTGAGATAATTTAGATTCACATACAATTACAAGAGATACAGGGAGAACCATTCTTGACTTTGCCCAGCTTCCTCCATTGACACGACCACCTATCTTATTCCTAGATTTTCCCAGTTTTAGTGTAGTCACTTGTCTGCACATGTGTGCATATTAAGTTCTACACAATTTTTTCTCCTGTCTAGGATCATATATCCATCACTAGTCAAAAGACTGAACAGTTCCTTCACCACAAGTATACCTTACGTTGCCCTTTTATAGCAACCACCTACCTATCTGTCCTCCTCTTGACTCAACCAAATCTATAAGCTCTGGCAATGATTAAGTTGTTCCCCAGTTTAAAAACTTTATCATATCAAAAATATTATATAAATGGAATCATATGTAACCTTCTGGATTGACTTTTTCTACTCAGCATAATTCCCTGGAGACTGATTCAAGTTTTTGTGTGTATCAATAATTTTTCCCTTTTATTGCTGAGTAGTATTCTATGATTTGTATATACAAGTTTGTTACTCACTTGTTGAAAGACCTCTGGGCTGATTGTAGCTTTGGAATATTAACATAAAGATGCTATGAACATTTATGAACAGGTTTTTGTGTAAACTAAGTTTTCATTTCCCTGGGATAAATAACAAAGAATACAATTGCTGGAGTTTATTATAATGCATGTTTACTTTAACAAGAAACTATTTGTAACATTTCACATTCCCACCAAAAATGTGAATGATCTAGTTTGTCCATACCCTTGCCAGCTTTAAGTGCTGTCATTATTTTTTATTTTAACCACTCTGTAGGTACAGAATGATACCCTCCTTGTGGTTTGAATCTGTATTTCCCTAGTGACATTGAACATCTTTTCCTATATTTAACACCTGCATATCCTCTTCAATAAAATGTTTATATCTTTTGCCAATTGTCTAAATGTATTCTTTGAGAGTTTTTGGTTTTTCTCCTATTGTATTTTGAGACTTCTTTATATATCCTATAAATTAGTTCTTTATTAGATACATGGTTTGCAAGTATATTCGCCCAGTCTGTAGCTTCTATTTTTATCCTCTTTGCATGGGCTTTCAAAGACCAAATTTTTAATTTTGATGAGTTACAACTTTTGGTGTCAAATCTGAAAACGCACAGCTTAACCCTAGATCTGGAAGACTTCTTTCCTATTTATATTACTAAAAGCTATAACTTCACACATTACATTTAAGTCTATGATCCACTTGGAGCTAATTTTTGTACACAATGTGAGGTTTAGGTAGATGTTCTTTTTGCGCTTATGGGTGCCTGATTGTTCCAACACTGTACGGTGAAAAGACCATCCTTCCTCCATTTAATCACTTTTGTGACTTTCTCAAAAATCAGTTGGGCATATTTGTTTAAACTATTTGTGTTTTCCATTCCATTCCACGAATCTCTTCGTCTTTCCCTCCATCAATACAATACAGCCTTTATTACTATAGCTTTATAAAAATCTGGGAGACTGATTTCTCCAACTTTATTCTTCTTTTTCCAGAATTCTAGCTATTTTAGTTCCATTGCCTTCTACATAAATTTTAGAGTGAACGTGTGTATATCTTCAAAAATCTTGCCATATTTTGAAAGGAACTGTATTAGAGCTATATAATCTGAGGGAGAATAAACATCTTTGCTATGTTGAATCTTCCAATCAATGAGCAAAGTATGTCTTTCAATTTGTATAAATATTCTTTTCAGAGTTTAGTGTTTCTAACACATAGATCTTTTTCCATAACTATAAATAGTATTGTTTTTTTATTTTATTTATTTATTTATTTTTTAATGAACTAAAAAAGAAATGTGTTTATTGAGGGCAAGAGGATGCAAGCAATATAAAAATCAAAAGCTTATCTGGCTTTAATTGGCTTTTCTTTCTCTTGTCAAACGGGTGGGATTTTATTTGTACATTTTCTAAGGGACCCAATCTGCTCATGAAATCGTTATACAGGGGGAGGCTGTGGGGCAGAGATTCTTTAAGTGACCCTTGGGAGAACTCTTTATCAGGGGTGAAGCAGCAGCTCAGCTGCCTACTTCTTTCCCTTCTGCTTCATGTGTACTACAAAATAGTCATTGCATGCGATGGTGAGCCCCGCAATAAGCAAAAAGCAGCTCTGGAAGCCCACTCGGCCATCTTGGCATTGGTCCAGGTCTTTCATTATTTTGTCTGCGGCCAGAGGGTATTTTTGATTTTCCAAAAATCCAGGGAACTCCTTTTCCATGAGTACTCTCAGGTCCTCCTTTGTTAAGTAGCCTTTATCCCCAGCAAATTTGTGAAATGTGAACATCATAGTTCCCATGGCGTGTTCCATTTGAGATGGCATTTTGGTGAGGTCTTAGCCAGAGGCGCGGCAGGATCGCTAGGCTGGCTGGGACGTGTGGCCAGTGAGCGGAGCTCTGCGGACCAGTATTGTATTTTTAATTTCACTTCCCATATGTTCTTTGCTAGTATGTTGAAACACCACGGATTTTTATAGGTTTATCTTATAACCTGCTACTTTGCCAAACTCACCTGTTATATCTAGAGATATTTTTACATAAAATATCATGTTATCTAAAATTGGGGGTGGGGACAACTTAATTTCTTCCTTTAATTGGTATGCCTTCATTTCCTCTTCTTGCCTTATTGTGTTGAATAAGAGTGTTGAGAGCAGACATCCTTGACATTCTAGGGGAAAACATTCAGTCTTTCACTGTGAAATATTGTGTTAACTGTAGGTTTCTTGAATATGTTATCAAGTTGCAAAAATTAACCTATTCCTAATATCTACATTTTTTATCATGAGTGTTTATTGAATTTTATCAATTGAGTCAGTTGATGTGATCATGTAAATTTTCTTCTTTTGGTAGATTAACTTAGTGATTTTTTAAAAATACTGATTAGCCTTGAATTCCTGAAATGAACTCTACTTGGCCATGGTATATAATTCTTTTTACATATTACTATTTCTATCTGCTAATAATTTGGTAAGTATTTTCCTATCTATATGTCTCAAGGACATCAGGTTGGTCATAATTTTTTTGGTTGTTTGGTTGTTTGTAACTGTCTTTGTCTGGTTTAGTACAAAGATAAGACTCTGCTATTGTTGAGTGTAGTGTTTTATAAATGTCTATTAGATTCTGTTGTTTGATAGTGTTGTTCAGTTCTATCTTTGCTGATTTTCTGTCTAATGGTTCTATCTATCAATTATTGAGAAAGGGGCACTGAAGTCCCAAACTACAACTGTAGATCTGTCAATTTCTCCTTTTAACTTGGAACGTTTTTGCCTCACATATTTTGCAACTCTATTATTTGGTACATACACATTTAAGGTTGCTGTCTTCATGATGAATTGACCCTTTTATCATGACATAATGCCCCTGTCTTGCCTATACCAATACATCTGAAGGGAGTTTTTTGTAGACAGCATACTACTGGGTCACATTTTTTGTTTTTGTTTTAAATCTACTATGCTGATCTCTACCTTTTAGTTGGTATAGTTAGACCACTTACACATAACTAAGTTTGCTATTTTAGTTTTGCTGCTGCTCTCCTGTGGATTACTTGAACATTTTTTTAATTCTATTTTTATTTATCTACACTGCTTTGAAGGTATCTCTTTTTCAGTAGTTGCCTAGGTATTATATTATATACATATAATGCCTATTGGTGCCTTCCTTTTACCAGTTCAAGCAAAGTAAAGAAATCTTACCTCCCTTTATGTCTTCTCTACCTCTCCCATTTAAATATAATTTCTCAAACATTTCCTCTCTATATATCTAGAATCACATCAGATAGTATGATAATTTTGGTTCAACCACCAAACATAATTTAGGAAACTCAGGAGGAGAAAGAAAGCCAATTCTGTTTACCCAGATTTTTGCTTACTATGTTCTCTTTTCATTCCTAATGCTCCAAGATACCTACCTTTTAATCATTCCTTTTCTATTTAGAGAAATTTCTTCAGCCATTCTTTAAAGTTGGGTCTGCTGGTGACAAATTCTCTTAGTGGTCCCTCATCCAAGAATGTCTTCATTTCCCCTTCATTCCTGGAGAATATTTTCACTGTTCTTTCTTTCAGCACTCACCTGAAAAATGTGCCACTTCCCTCTGGCCTACATAGCTTTTGATGATGAATCTACTTATGAAAAATCAGTGTGGTTTTTCCCTATAAGAAAAGGTGCCTGTTCTCACTTGCCACTTTCAAGATATTTGTCTCTAACTTTCAGAAGTTTGATTATAATTGGACTTGATGTAGAATTCTTTTGGCTTATCCTATCTGGGGTTTGCTCACCTTCTTGGATCTGCAGGTTCATGCCTTTGCCAAATTTGGGAAGTTTTCGACCATTATTTCTTTGAGTTATTTTCAGCCTTGCCTTCTTCTTTCTCTCCTTCCAGGACTCCAATGAAACAAATGGTAGATCTTTTGGTATACAGTCCATTGGTCTCTGAGGAATGCTTTTTTTTTTTTTTCTTAGTCTATTTCTCTCTGTTGTTTAGATTGGGCAATTTCTATTGTTCTATCTTGAACTGAAATCACTGATGCTTTCTACTGTCTTCATTCTGCTGTTGACCCTATCTGTTGAGGTTTTTACTTTTGTTACTGCATTTTTCAGTTCTAAATTCCCATTTCATTTTTCTTTATATCCGCTACTTCTTCCTGAAGCTGTTTTTTGATTTGTTTCAAGTGGGTTTGGAATATCTCATCGAAACACTTCTATGATTGCTCTTTAAATATTTGTCAGCTAATTCTAACATCTGTTATTTCAGTGCTTGTGTCTACTGATTGTCTCTTCTTTCATTCAAAATAAGATTTTTCTGGTTTTTTTAGTATGTAGAGTGATTTTTTTTTTTAAAAGATTAAACTTTAACTTTTTTTTGTATTCTGGACCTTATTAAATCTGATTTAGCTGGTTCCTTCGACACTGCTCAAGCTGGGGAAAAGGTTCCTAGCTTTTATTGTCAGGTAGAATTAGAAGGTTAAGTTTCCCATTTCACCTCTGTTGTCACCTGAGTTGGGGAGGAGCTCTTCATTACTACTGAGCAAGGGCACGGATTCTGGCTGCTCAGTAGGCCTCTGCTGATGTAATCTTGGCTGTGAGGGGGCTAAGCTCCTTACTAGTGGGAGGTGGTAAAAGTCCTGATTCTCCTCCACTAGGGATCACTCCAGTGGGGAGAAAAAGGAACACCTCCTTAAGGCCAGGCTCCCCATGCAGTCTCTAGTAACAGTAAACCAGGGAAACAGGAGAATGGCAGTTGGAAGGTTAGTTACTGCCCAGCACAGAAAAAACTCCTAGGTAGCTACTTAGCCTTCTCTGAAACCACCCTGGTGTAAGGTTGGAGAACTTTGTTATAATTTGATGAGGGTGGAAGTTTAGGATTCCTACCAGCCTTGGCAGGCATGCGCTGGGGCAGCGGTCAAAGTCCTTCTGTTTGGCTAGAGCACAACAGTTACTAATATAAAAGTTTTGTGTCTTCCTAGGCTGCCCTCTTCCTGGTCTTTTGATTAGAGAAGGCAGGCTTTTTAGTCTGTGCCTGTTGTTGTTTCCAGGCTGCCAAATTCTTCAGCTTCAAGTCTGGGACATATTAGGTAAAAAGAGAACCCAAGGAACTCACCCTGTGTCATTCCTTAAGTCCTGAGGTACCTAATCTTTATGCTTTTTCTCGACTTTTCAGAGTCTTTTTATGTTTGTTTTACATATAACGTTCAAGATTTTTAGTTGTTTTAGCAGAGGGAATAGGGAAATTGTACATCTACTCCATTTCCCTGAAAGCAGAAGTCCCCACTTTTTAAATTGGTCCCCACAATGTCCAACCACACAAATTTCTGGAAAAATGAGGGTAGAGTCTGTAAAAGAGATTTTTCTTTCTGGAATGCTTACAAATTTGGACTACTCCACCATCCAAATGAGTTATTGTGGCTGAGCCAACCATACAAGAATGTCCAAAATCACCTGCTAAATCTGGGAGTATGTCTCAGGACATAAACTTGTATGCAGTATAAGTTTATATCCTTATGATTTCATAAATACTTAGAAATTTAACAATTATCCTATCAAAACTTTAAAGTAATCATTAAACTATGTTTACTTATGAAACAAAAAGTCTTACATAATCTGATCTTTCTGAAGACACTATATGAAACTATACAGCTAAACCCACTTCAGACTTTTGAACACATATTGTTATAATAAACAGATTTTTAAATGTACTTACCCAATAATAGAATAAAAATATCCTAATAGAAAATGGCCTAGAACAGCACAAGTCAGAGTAGACAGCTCAATAAATATGTTAAATGACAAAGATACCCATAAAATACAGTGTCGAAAATTTTACTGTTAAACAGAAAAGCACTTCCCCTGTTAATGTCAAACATGAGGCTCTATCATTGCTGTTCAGTTCGTGAAACAAACTTTCATAATTAACTAATAAAAATTATGTTTCTAATTTTTATGTTTCATTAGAATATATTCTGTATTTAGGACTATCTCCTTAGAATATATTCTCAAGTGTGCCTGGCAATATGCCAATTCAAGGTTTCTTTGATTATAAAATTCAGAAAGACTGGTATACAGGCAGCTCTAATCAGTGAAAATAAAAGTATCCAATTACCTAATAAATTATTAAGAACAAAATTTTTAAAAAGACTAATATGCAATGTTTCAGCTGGTATTAACTTTTTAAGAGTAGTAACAAAATTTATAAAACAAGAGGAAATTAAAACATATATTTTAGCATTCTCATTCCACTCAACATCCCAAGGACATGAATATTAATGTAACAAAGTAGAAATAGTCCTTAAATCACCTTAATCTAATGCAATGCTTCCCTAAATCTGTTCCTCAGAATCCAAGTGTCCCTTGAAATATTAACAGATGTCCCACAGAGAGAGACAATACTAGGTTAAACACAATTAAACCAATTTTTCTACTACAGGAATCCTTGGGGAATTTTAAATAAAATATGCACCTTGAATTTCCCAAAGAGGACTATAGGCACACAGTTTCCCAAATTTAATCAAAGAAGCCGTCTCTTGAACATCTATTAAATCCCACTGGAGACCAGTGTAGAACAGAATTCAATCTGAGAGAAAGAGAATAGCAGGAAAGTCCTTGAATACTGATGCCCTGCTTGGCCAGGTAAAATGAAGACCAAAAACTTAATAAATACCATAGTTATAGTAACTAAATAATAATTCAATAAGGAAAACATGATGATGAAAAGCTTTTAAAAACACTATAGGTGATTTCTAGTACTCATTTAAAAAAAAAGTCTATCAATCATGCTGAAAACTACCATAAAAATTGATTACAGATATTATAAGGATAAATTAGCTAAGTGTTAACTTCATTCATATTTTAAATATTATTCTCAAGTAGTTTATTTGAACATGGAAATAAAAACCCCAGAAACTGGATATTTTAGATGAAGTTTAAAAAATAAAACAAACCTTCAATTTTTAACAGAACCTCATACTGAACTCTCTGAAATGAAACATCAGGTATTATTCAACCTCACTGTATATACATAGCTGTACTATGGTGGTTGACAAAATAAAACATACAATAAACAGAACATATAACCATCAATGTTGTATATTTATGTACATGTATATGCTGGTATTTGTGTGTATATTTATCCAATAAGACAAACATACCAGAATCTGAAGTTAATATTAGGAAATTAAATTTTTAAAAAGTTCAATTCAAATTATGGCTAAATATTAAATATAGCCTGAAAGAGATTTTATATAAATGTTCCTTTTAACTAGATTTTTGTAATCCACATTTAAATCAATTTTTAAACACATAACATTAACAAAATACACAATGGCAAGCAGTGATATAAAACTAATTTTAGATTCCGTGTGATGATTTCTGTGAATTAAGAAGTGTTTTGAATTCAGAAAATAATGGGAAATCACTTACCTCTAACTACAGTTCTCTGAAGGTAGTATCCTCCTTAGAACTCCTATCTTGGGTAGTTTCACCTGCTGTTATTTCCCTCAAGAGATTCCAGCAAAATCTAGGAAGTTTTGAGTTGCCTCCTGCAAGCCCTATTAGCGCATGTGTGTTATAAACCTGCTCACATACTGCCTCATAGAAGTAACTTACAACTCCCACTGAATCACCTCTACTACCATCCATGTATCAATGGAGGACAGTATCTTTGGAAAATTCCACCTAGAAATATGATTTTTTTCAATTCTCCAAAAATATTCTCCAAATTGCTCCACTGCTGTGTCTATAATGTATTTAAGAGAGTGGTGGCAACTCAGTAGTTGAATAAATTGTGACAAAAAAAATTAGCTAAGCAATTGTATTTGCTGAATACTCAAATATAACAATGTAACAAATCAAATAAAACCAGCTTCCTCCACATTCAATACATAAAAAACCTAAACATATATGTGAAAAATTCTCATAAAAAATACTTTTGTAAAGAAAGGAGAAAAATATTCTGTGTCACTTGGGCATATCAAATATATTCCTTGTATATTTTGCTAAAAAAAAAGCCAATATTTAAAAAACAGGAAATAAATTATTGAAAGACAAGTGTTACCCAATTTCTAGTGGTTTTTCAGTTCATAACTTCTAACTTAAACTGCCACAATAAAGGAAAAGCCAAACAAAAATGAAAAACAAAACTAGTCACTCAAACCACAGCCAGTTGCATATACCCTAGAACGGCAGTTTACAAAGGGTACAATTAAGCACTTAACAAAATTTTTCAAATGTATTCAGGAAGTGGACTGAAAAGTAGTGTAGGAAAGAAAGGAGACCTTATCTTCTGCTACCCAGGAAAAGGTCTTTTACTTTGGATTTCACTCACAGATTCTATAACTGCTTGCTGATTATTCCTGACAGCCATGTGAAAGTAGGAGAAAAGAGAAACAGGGATCAACTGTCCTATAGACCAGAGGACTAAACCATACATATAGCACTATTTTGGAAGATCAAGTATGGACTAGCTTTAAAAACACTGATTTTAGGTAAGAGCTATCATCAGCTTGTAAGCATAAATAAGACCCACACAACATCATGATAAAATTCTACTTTTTTAGATGTCTCAGCTAGCTCCCAAATTTCCCCTGGCTCATAATAGGTTCTAAATAGATGTTTCTGGATACTCTCATTTTAAATTTCAACTTAACTCCTTCCATGGCTCTCCTTCCATATACGTAAACACACAAATAACAATAAAATACAATAATAAAATTACCAAAAAGCAATTTAGAAATGGACAACAGCAAGACTAGGAAAATCTTAATCTCCCACGTATATAGTCAATATATAAATAAACTAATCATATATAGGCCTGATTCTTCAAATTATCTGTGCTCCTACAATGCATGGATTTAAATTAAATTTTAGAATAGAGATGCTCCTTTAAAAATTCAGCCTCTGTTGATCATAAAAACTAAGGATATTTTTCTAATTTTAAAAGTGTATGGAACAGCCACGGCCAGTGTGGCCCAGTTGGTTGGAGCATCATCCCATTCGGGTTCGATTCCAAGTCAGGGCACATGCCTAGGTTGTGGTTCAGTCCCTGGTTGGGGGTGTTTACGAGAGGCAACCGATCAATGTTTCTCTCTCATATCGATGTTTCTCTCTCCCTCTCCCTTCTCCTCTCTTTAAAGTCAATAAGCATGTTCTCAGATGAGGATTAAAAAAAAAAGTGTATGGAACAAAATGTCCCCAAAACAAAATGTATCTTCCAATGCAAACAAAGGTCACGAAAGAGATTCATTGAATAGATTGTTTAGAGATAAAAATAAAATGAAATAATCTAGTCACCTATCAGAAAGAATAAAATAAGCCATGAGGCAGTACATATGCATTCACTTTCCCTTTTATACATGCACTATTAGGACTCACTGAAGGGTCAAAAATCTTCTAGATCTTGCTAGTTTAAATGCAGGAACAACTAACAACCCAAGAAGGTGTATCTAGGATGATACTTACCTTATGATAGATTATACCACTGTGCTATTATGTATTCTGTGTATGGATACACAAGCAGTCAGCGGAAAGGTACACACCACACTAGCAAATGCTTGGCTGGACCCATAAGGTCGGATGACCAATGGAATATCAAGATATGTGTCGATTCTCCAGCCCTCGTAACCACATTCCAGACACCTCACGTAGTCCTTCAGCTTGCCTTGATATAGTTCATTTATAAGATCGGCCTGGAAATAAGAATATTTACATTTTAAAGTGTAAAAAGTAATTTTTAAAATATGTGAAAACACAATTCATGCTTTTAAAAATGAAATTTCAAAAAAGATATTCATTCTGTTGAACTTTTAAGAAAGCTTTAAGATTTATCTAAAATCCAACGGAAAAAAATCAAGGCTTGATAAAAATCAACTAAAAATCAATATAATTAGATTAACACTAATTTAAAAATCAATGTACAAAAATTAACTACTTCAATTCTCATATATTTAAAACCCCAATATTAAAAAATGCTTTGCTGAAATCAGTTACCAATATATTACACTATTAAGCCTCGTATCTTTTCAGTTAGCTGAAAATACATTCTAATCAATCACTTTAGGCATCTCAATAATTACACAGTTAAATAA